TGCAGATAACAGCATCATGTTCTCATAAGATTGCTGTGGAGATCAAAGGAGAACATAGAAGCTAAATCTGTTCATAAGTAATGCAGTATAAATATAAAATATCATAGTATTATTTCTACTTACAAAAGAACAATACCAGTGAGCAAACAGTAAGCACAATGAGGCTGAAGTGGCTATATTAATATCAAATAAAGTAGACTTCAAAACAAACGGTATGAACAGAGACAAAGAGGGATATTTCATAATGATAAAAGAATCTATTTATACAGAAGCCATGACAACGTAAATGTGTATCTACCTAACAAGAGAAATTCAAAATACATGAATCAAAAGTCAACAGGACTAAATAGAGAAATAAATAAACTCACAATCATAGAGATTTTAACACCCGTCTTTCAGCGACTGATAGAATAAGTAGACCAAAATAATCAGTAAATACATGGGAAACTTAACACTATCAACCATCTTAATTGAATTAACATGTATAGAATACCACATCCAACAATTACAGAATTTGATTTTTTTTTCAAGAGATCATGGTATATTCACCAAGAAAGACCAAATGTTGGTCCATAAACACAAGTCTCAATACATTTTAAGATCGCAATCTTACAGACTATATCCCCTCGCAACAGGGGCGCCTGGGTGGTTCAGTCGATTAGGCATCTGACTCTTGATTTCGGCTCAGGTCATGATCTCACGGTTCATGGGATTGGGCCCCATGTCAGGCTCTGCACTGACAATGCCGGGCCCACTCAGGATTTTCTCTTGCCCTCTCTCTCTGCCCCTCCCTTGCTCATGCTCTCTCTGTCTCTCTCAAAATAAATAAATAGACATTAAAGAAAAAAGAATATATTCTCCCACAATAGAATTAAATTGCAAACCAGGAATGTTATGATTTCTAGAGAATTCCAAAGCATTTGGAAATTAAAACATACCCACATACCCATGGCCAAAGAAGAAATCACAAGGAAAATTAAAAATACCCCTAAAGTAATTATAATTAAAATACTATACATAAAAATTTGCAGAGCACAGCTAAGGTAATGTTAAGGGAAATTTATAGATCTAAATGCATATTTTAAAAGGTATTAAAAGAAAATTCAGTGAGCTCAGATATATCTTTAAACTATAGGTCAAATGTAATTCTCAACCAGGAGTGATTTTATTCCCTAGAGGATACTTGGAAATGTATAGAGACATTTTTGGTGTCACAACTGGGTGAGGGAGAGCTATTAGTATCTAATGGATAGAGGGCAGGTTTGGCCCTAACCATCCTGCAACGAATCAAACAGCCTCCCCCAACAAAGAATTATCCAGTCAAAAATGTCCATAGTGCCAGGGTTGAGAAACCTGAATTAAATATGGCATGGAAAACAGCCCCACAAAAAAAGCTATAGGCCCAGATAATTTCATTGGTAAATTGTATCAAACATTTCAGGAAACGATGAATACCAATCTTACACAAACTACTGTAGAATACAGAAAACAAACAAACAAACAGTTCCCCATTCATGTTATGAGGCTAGCATAACCTGTTATTAAAACCTGATAAAGACAGGACATATATACAGGTGAAAATTTTTGTACCAAAGAAGTTACATCGTGGCCTAGTGAGATTTATTCCAAGAATACAAGGTTAGTTTAAATTCCAAAGAAACCTATTGATGTAATTCACCATATTGACAGAAAGAAGAAGAAAAACTGCATGATTATGTCAATGGATCAGAAAAAGTCATATGACAAATTCAGCATCATTGTGACTTTTTTTAACTCAGCAAATTAGAAATAAAAAGGTATCTCCTCAATCTTATAAAGGGCATCCATTAAAAACCTACAATTAATATTATACATAATGGTAAATATTGGTTTCTCTCTAAGATCGGGAATAAGGCAAGTATGCTGCCTCTCTCCACTTCTATTCAACATTTACTAGAGGTCCTAACCCATGTGATAAAACAAGAAACGAAAATAACCCAAACAGACTGGAGAGAAAGAACTCTGTTCACACATGAATGTCTATGTATAAAATCCTAAGAAGCCTATGAAAAATAGCGACTATAATCAATAAATAAGTTTAGCAAGATTGTGGAGTACAAGGTCAATCCACAAATGTTAGTTGTATTTGTATATACTAGCAGCAATTAGAGAATGAAATTTTTAAATATAATTTCTTTTATGATAACATAAAAAATGAAATACTTAGGAATAAATTTTGAAAACATGTATAGGATTTGTACATTAAAAACTACAAAACCTTGGTAAGAAAAATTTTTAAAGAACTGAATATATGGAGAGATACACCACATGCATGTATTGGAATATGCAATGTTTCAATATGTGAATTACTGAAAATTGATCTACAAATTTAATAAGATCCAATCATAATCTCACCAGGCTTTTTGGGGGGGTGGGGGGGGGAGTAGGAATTGACAAGCTGATTCTAAAATTTACATGGAAATGAAAAGGACCTATAATATTCAAAGCAATCTTGAAAAAAAGGAGAACAAAATTGGAGAACTTGCATATTTGATTTAAGTTTCACTACAAAGCCATAATAATTAAGACAGTATAGTACTAGCATAAGAATAGATAAATGTATCAATAGATCAGAAAAGAAAGTCCAGAAATAGAATTAGACTTACGTACTTATCTAATTTCAGCAAAAAACATCAGAAAAATCTGATGGAGAAGGGCAAGGCTTTTCAACAAAGACTATTTCATACCCCACCAAAAAAATGGATATTAGGTTTCAACATAAAACATAAAACTATCAAGCTTCTAGAAAAAAATAGGATAATATTTTCACAACTTGGTGGGGAGGGTAGGCAACAAAAATTTCTTAGGTAAGACACAGAAATAAATACCCATAAAAGAAACTACTGCCTCAAATTAAGATCTTATTCGCACCAAAAGATACTATGGGAAAAATGAATGCGCAAGCTGCAGCCTGGGAGAAATATTCACAAAATATATACGGGGCAAAGGAATTATATTCAGAATACATAAAGATCCTATAACTCAATAAAAAAGAAGACAAATTGCCTTATTGAAAAATGGGCAAAATATCTGAACAGACATTTCACAAAGGAAGATAAATGAACAATAAATATGTGTAGGACAGTATCCAACATCATTAGTCATCAAAGAAATGCAAACTGAGATACACCAAACATTGGCAAGGATGTGGAATAAAATGGCACAACCACTTTGGAAAAAGATCTGCCAGCTTTTTTATGAAACTAAATATATACCTACTATATGATACAGTAATTCACTCTTGGGTATTTACCTGAGATAAATAAAAACCTATGTGTACCCACACAGACATAGGCAAAGTAAACCAACTCGTACAGGACTGTTTTTAGCAACCGCATTCGGAATAGCCCAAAACTGGCAACAGCCCCGGTGTCAGTCAATAGGAAAATGGGTAAACCGACTGTGATGTGTTCTTGCCATGGAATAGTACTCGGCAGTTCAAAGACACTATATGTTCAACAATGGGGGTAAGCATGAACAGCATTATACTGAGTGACAGGAGAGTTACACGAGGGAGTGTATACTGTATGATCCGATTCATGTTAATTCTCCAACAGGCAACACTGATCTATGAGGAAAAATAATTGGTGGTTGCCTCCATGGAGTTGGCAGTGGAGACTGCCTAGGTAAGGGCATGAGGGGATTTGGGAGTGATGGTAACGTTTTGGATCTTGATAGAGATTCGAGTTACACAGGTGTACTCGTTGAATTCTTACATTTCGCTTTACGTAAATTTGCCCTCCCAATAAGAAATAAGAGCCCTAATCTCAGTTGGGTTTTTTGTCTCATCTCATTTTTAACATACGCGTCCTAAAGTACTTAGAGGTGAGTGCACCGATGTCCACGACTTAGTTTGAGATACATCTAAATACAAAATCGATTAATGGAGCAAAAGATGCATTAGATCAGTTTATAATAAACTAGAGAGAAATGCTCATTGTAGCTCTGGGGTTGGGGGTGAGCATATGGGCATTCACTGTATGTTTTTTTTTAATTTTGGTGCCTGTTTGAAAATTCTTATGATGAAATGCAGGGAAAAAAAGTAACGGTGATGGGAAATATCAGAACTCTTCCTGGTAGCCTCAGGGCAAAGGTATGTGCGCTTCTCCTGTTTCTTTCCAGCCCACCGGCCCACCTGTTGCCATGAATGGGTTCTTCTAAACACAGGCGTCTAATAAACCCACATCGTTACGTTGAACTTGCCCAAAAGAATATACAGTGTTTTCAGTAAGTCTGCACGTACCTTCTAATTTTAATAGTGGTTGCCAGTATGATAAGGTTTATGATAAGTACATCATTTAAGTATGTGAAAGGTACCCTTATTTCAGACGTAAAGCTGGTGACACACAACTGCTATATACAGCAGTTTGTGTAATAAATGAAACTCTTGGGGCGCCTGGGTGGCGCAGTCGGTTAAGCGTCCGACTTCAGCCAGGTCACGATCTCACAGTCCGTGAGTTCGAGCCCCGCGTCAGGCTCTGGGCTGATGGCTCAGAGCCTGGAGCCTGTTTCCGATTCTGTGTCTCCCTCTCTCTCTGCCCCTCCCCCGTTCATGCTCTGTCTCTCTCTGTCCCCAAAATAAATAAAACGTTGAAAAAAAAAATAAATAAATAAATGAAACTCTTAACTATATTTATATAATAAGCAAGCTATAACAAATATAATTATTTTGCAGCCAGGTGATTCTGTTTTACTATCAGCTATAAGAAAGGTAGTTTGCCTTTAAATTTTGTTTCAGAAGTGTTTCTACCATACCTGTGGGCTGGTTTTAAAGTTCAGTACAAGATGCCGGAAGATCTTCTTTTCTACTCAGGAGGAACTAACATTCATGCAAGGTTTATGATAGCTACGTCAGACGTTCCCACGGGCACTTTAATTCTACTCTGACATATATCATACCCATTCAAACCTAGTTTCGTCTGCTCTAAGCTGTTCTCCTTTTCACCAGGTACTTCTGCGGCAGATGGGGTAACAATGGCTTTTGATGTGAGAAAGAGTCTGTTATTCCATTTCAAAGGTGCAGGTAAACAGATCTTGTACAGGGGATACAGCAGCAAACGCATAGCGTCTGAACTCGCCCCGGGTGAGTTGGCGCTGAGTCACTGCAATGACTCAGCTCAAAAGCCTTCTTGTCTTCAAGTTCATAGACCAGAGTCACTGTTCCCCGGGGGGGGGGGGGGGGGGGGGGG